CAACAAAAGTTTTTAGATAGAATTATTTTGTGTCCGCTTATAATCGATTTATTCAAAACTATGCTAATCTATTCTATAACTGATAAATTTTGAATGACAATATGAATTGATTTCGATTGTATATAAGGTCTTTAGTACTGTCAGAAATCTTTGTTGAATTAGTTTCAAATTCCCTAGTGACAAGTTTATAAGGAATTAATTGAAAATTGAAAATATGTCAATGTTAGATGATTCAAAGTAAATTTCGAATTTTAGAAAGAAATTTAAAAAATTTGAAACTATTGTTAGAAAAATAATTTTTTACAATATTTTCTTATACAATTATAATGGAATATTTTTTCTTGACGGAATTTGCTATGTACATTTAACATGAATAACAATTGTATTTTAAGACAGATATAATTATCATTCAATTCAAAGTTTCAAATTTAATATTATTATAATTTTATAAAAATTATTTTTACTTTTAGATAAATACGGTTAATCTTATTGAAGAAAGGTAACATTTTTTTTTGTGAGTAATGTAAAAATCTATTCTGGACTCCGCAAACGTTTCGTCAATAGGTGCTTTGATCATTGATTGAACTGCACAGTGAATGGTCAAGTGCTTTTCTCGAGGGAAAATTTCATGGAATTCTATTGATGACCTCTCCCCCCCCTCTCTCTCTCTCTCTTGTCATGTTTCTTTATTTAAATAATCCAAACAAGACGTAGATAATAAATTAAATTAGTATAGTCGTTTTTATCATAGCGACCTCCTTCTCCATCAGAGCAGAAGAGCTAATTTGACACTTCTTGCGGATTTCGATAGATTAATTTCTTTTTCATCGCTCGACGCTTTTTTTATGGCCCGACCATTATAAAGTATTTCTATTTTTTTGCCATAATAAATATTAAAAAAATTTTTCTTAATTATTTTAGATAAAAATTATAAAATAGATTAATTAAAAATTAATAAAGGTTATCTGGTCGACAAAATTATTAAAAATAAATTAATTAATCGAAATTAATCAAGAATATAAAGGGAAGACTCGAATAAATTGTTTTTGGGCGCCAGTCCTTTCTTGAGACAAAAATAAATAAATAATTAAGGGACAAAAGAATTAAATTGATTAAACAAATTTTTCATTAATCGTTGAATTAGTTTGGAAAAATACACAAGGCTGCCAGGCAAACTATTTTGCAGATTGTTAAATTCAATAATTAAATCAAAATTATTATTCTTGACTGTCAAATTAGTCTGAAGAGTACACAGACTGTCAAATTCAATAATCAATGGAAACTCAAAGCAAAGAAATGATTCAAAATTTAAATTAAATTAAAATAGTCTTCCTTTTACTCGGCCTGCAGTAGTTCCAATTCTTGGTTAACAGTAAAGAGAGCGGTTCGAAAAAGCCATATTCGAAAAGATTTTGTCTTTAAATAAAATAAAACATGAGATTTTATAAATAAAAGATTAATAAGTTTCTTTATTTAAAATTTTTGAACATGATAAAAATTATTGAGTTAAGAGTCGATATAATTAAAGGAAAGGTTTACTTATTCTTTTTAAAGAATAAGGATTCTTTAATTCGAGGAATGGAAAAAGGAATTAAATTGAAATGCATACAATAATTATAAAATTAAATGAATGACATTTCAATCAATTTCGAAAATAAAAAAGGATAAATTAAATTTAGAGAATTAAATTCATTCTTCAATAATTTCAAATTTAATAAAAATCAATTAAATTAAAAAGAAATCATTTTTAAATTAGATTAAATTGAAAATTTAAATTAAATAAAATTGATTATGGGAAAATTTAAACGATTAACAATTTTGAGATATCATTCATAAATGAAAAATAAAATTTTACCAGATAATTCCAAAATTAATAGAATCAAAATGTCCGTTGGCAACGAATTTCCAATAGAGATTTCCAAACAATTCCTTGGTTTTATTAAATAAATTTCCTTATTTTCTTCTTTATTAAATATATTCAATTTCCTTTTTATAAGATTCATTATATATTTTCTCAAATTATTATATTTAAATTCCAAAATCAAATAAAATTAAATGATATAAATAAAAAGCGTCTACCTTATACGAAATCACATTAAAGAATGAATAAAAAAGACGTTGTTTGTTTTCTCCTAGGAGATCTTCGTTGCCAACCAAAAAAAATAAATATCTAAAAAAGAATAAAAAGATCGGGAAAAAAATTAATTCGACGATCGGTAAGAAGGTTTTGTCATGAAACTTGATGCCAATTAAAATGTGCGAAAATTCAAATTTGATAGAAACAGATCTTCATAAAATTAAATTTGTTTTCTTGAATAAAATAATATTATTTCTTCTTGATTAACGATTTTAATACATTAATCCGATGCAAGATGATAAATCTTTATAATTCTTCTCCAATATAAACATCAATGAATTCGGAATTAATATTGAAATTTACAAAGATGATGATACTCAGATAAAAAACGTTCAAATTTACATAAATCAAAAACATCAAACATTTCATATAGGCTTTGGCTAACCCGCAGCAATAGAAGTTTTAAATAACAATTCAAAAATATAAAGAAGCCTTCCAAAAATCATAATAATTTTGAATATTTCACCAGGAAACGAAGTCAATGATATTCTTAGGGTGATATTTGCATAAAACGTGAAAATACTTGGCATCTCTTAATTCTCCAATTAATGGTTACATCGGAAGTGAATATTTAATAATCTAAATTTTAATAAAAAAAATTTATCCAAATTTTCAATAATAAACTTCAAAAATATCCAATTATTGTTGACATCAAAATTGAGGTTATGTTGACCAATACAAAATATCCAATATAATTAATTTTCTCAAAGTTTTCTTAAATCTTGATATTTTTTTTAATTTCTTGTTTCAGTTGAAGTTGGCTTGAAAATACATAAATAAAAAGGGATTACAGACATTAATTCTTAATATTAAATTATTATTAAATAAGATTTTTCCATTTCTCGAATCTATAATGTGATGTCGTCTAATAAATTTTTATATTGAAAGATCTTTTTCGGAAATAATGAAGAAAAGTTAATTAATACATTGAAAAAATAAATAAACCTTTGTGATTTGTAAAATTATAAATTTTATAACGTCAGAAAGTTGTTATTTAAAGTTGAATAGTAGCAAAAATGAAACCTGTAGTACCTGAAAGTATTTGACTTATTTTTAGAATAGAAGAAGTAAAATTAAAATCATGTTTTATAAATACAATTTCAAAATTTTAATTGAATTTGTTATCTTATATACTTTTATATAATTAAATATTTCTCTACATTAGGCACGCTATCAAGTCGTTAGTTGCACATTATAACTTGAAATTAATGAAAATTTAATACAAACACATATATTTTTAACTGTAAGTAATTTCTTTTTAAAACAAGTTGATATGACTACAGTTACATTAATAATTATCTCGTGCCAATACAACAAAACTTCAATTGTTAATAAAAAATATATTTTTATTCAAAAAATCATTATTTTATAATTTTTAAATTGTTTATATTCATTGATTTTAGTATCAAACAAAAAATTTCTATATTTTTTTTTGTTTAAAATAATATTTTATTTTCATTCAGTTTTTCCTCAATAAATAAAGAAATTTATTTATACTTTTCTCTGCTTTTAATCCACAGTCATATTTATATGTGGACCACTATATTGTTCTCATTTCACTGTCATATTTTGCAATATACTGAATAACAATGTTATGCACGTTTATAATACACTGTCTGGTTAACTTTTTCTTACAACGAGAGTTTTTGTGAAAAAAAATACGATAAACCATTCTATGTATATATATGCGGGGGTTGAAAAAGATTCAAGCTGGCTTTATTCCACTTCTCGAATAATGCAAACGCAGCGCTCTGTGAAGACTGAAGACAAGTCTTCCACTTAAGATTTTCTTTTCCACACTGTACGCCATGCTCTCTCATTTCGTGAAAAAAAATATGAAGTAAAACTTAAAACAGGATTCCACAAAGGTCATTTCAACTGTAAGTGCGCTGAACACATTTGAAAGAATACTTTCGAGCAGATTTAATTTAAGAGGAGCTTCTCTTTCAAACATCCACAGTTGAAAATGCAGCTCTCTTTCGAGATGTGCAAATTAACTACACACAAAACAGATCATTTTCAAAAAAAAAAAAAAAATTCCAACTTTGTTCTTAAATTTCGAACAAAAAAATTAAATTCTATATTGAATCTTAAAAAAAAAAATTGTATGGAATTTTTTAATTTGTTTCTATTTCTAATAATTAATTATAATGATAATGTTTTATTCAATTCTTTAAAATAGTTTTTTCCTTAATAATTAATGCAAATTTTTCCAATATTTTCAAATAATAAATGTTGAATGCAAAATCTAGGTGAATGAGTTTCTAATGAAAATTACTTCTGCTTTGACATCAAAAGTTTAATTTAAGTTCGCTGGGATCACAGATTAAAACCACACGGTGAAAAGGTGAGCATCAAAAATTGAGAAAATAATAAAATGCACATTTAAATTGGCGGAGAATAATTTATTTATTCATACAAAAAATTTGCTAGGTATTAAATTTTTTAATTCTACAGTAAAATAAAAATAATTGAATGAAAATTTTAATTTGTATTATTAATAATAAATTACAATTAAATATCATTAATGAATAATTAAATAATAGTGAATAAACGAAATAATGTTAAAGAAATAGAGATAGAAAAAAGAAAGTAATAAAAGAATAATAAAACGTACTTCAAATAATGGAAAATATACGTGTAAGAAAACAATATTTTCCTTGGTCGAATGCATTCATTTATCTTGTTGAGAAAGATTACATAAGATTCTCGGATAGAAGTTTATGTAGGTATATAAAGGGATATAGGAGAGAGAGGATGTAAAAGCCGAGTCTATAAAGTTTACTCTGTTTTAGACTCGCGCACCAAGATTAATTTACTGGAAGAACAATTGCGGTCAGTTGGAGGAACATAATTATCTTACCTTGTTGTTTATTCCACCAATACTTGCTTTCAACACGCCAAGTGGTAGCCTTTTGTTTCGAGGACTTTTTTTTTTAAATCAATCAATCCAAAAAACAAGAAAAAATGCAATTTTCTTGAAAACACGTTTTTCGAGAATCTATCCAAAATCACTTCTTAAGTTTTTATACACTACACATATACACAGTTGCAAAACACTGATATAAATCCTATTCAAAAAGGAAATTCAATCACTTGAACACTGAAATTGCATTCAAAAATTATTTTTAAACATCCTTTGTATTTTACTAAAATTAGGTCTATTCAGTTGTTATTTTTTATCCTTGATGTAATATATCACAACTGACGATAAAAAAAATAAATCCTTTCTAAAAATTGCTTAAATTATTTTATTAAAAACTTCTTTTAAATTAAGATTTTAGATGTTTTTGTTAAATTTCTTCATTGCACTTTTTTTTTAATGTTGCTCCTATACAGTTAGCCAAAAAAATTTATTAATAAATTTTAATTAAATAAGTTTTTGTTTTTTTAATTATTTATTTTAAATTAATTTTTTAACACAAAAAAAAGTTCATTGAGTAAAACTTGTTTTAATTCACATAAAAACTATTGTTTTGAAGAGCGCATGCGAAACACTTTCGGCGGTTAACGCAGTGTAACAGAAACGGAACAGCGATACCATGTGCGCGTATAGCACGACGTAGTATCAGAAAGAGACTAACCCTCGAGAGCAGTTCTGCACCCCTGGACGTCGCGCATGCCCCCTACCTTAAAGAATACTCGCCCCCTCCGGACCGCAAAGACTTCATCTTTTTTTTTCTCTCTCTCTCTTCTTTTTTTTTTTGACAAGAAAGATCCAACCTGGCTTTTGTATTCTTCCGATTCTTGTAAAGACCATCGGTAAACGAAGAATGAAACAGGTTGGATCCGCAACGAAAATTCATTTACTTGAAAGTATACAAAGAGTATGTGCACTATCATATGCGCGTACTTTTATTTATATATATATATATATATAAGGAAATACAATTTATGAGATTGGAAACGATAGTAACTACTACTATAGAGCCAAACAGCCCCAGTCTCCTCTAATCACATTCATACCAAAAGATAAGATTCTGAAGATGTTGGATGTTTTTAATTTCCATGACAACCGTTTCAATGACAACCATTGCCATGGTAAACGTTACCACGGTAGCAAACGTTACCTTAGCATCAGGCCACGAAACCCTGCAATGGAGGCACCATACACAGTGGTTCAGAATTGCAATTTACTATTCATGACCGCCTACAACCTTCAATAATAATTATTAAAATTATAACTTATTTATTGTTGTCATATTCTGTTATTTTGATTAAAAAATCAAAAGAAAATTCCGTTCATGCAAATATAATTGGATAAAAGTTAATAAATAACAATAATTTGTTTAAACAATTAATTAATTAATTGTTTACTTAATTAAAGATAAGTAAATATCATTTCCTACCTCAGTGTAACTTTTTTTTTACTATTTTAATGTAATTCAAACCCCATAATATAAAAAAGCTCTTAATTAATAAAATATTATTTATTTATAATTTTTTATTTATAATAATAATGATTATTAACATTAATATTTTCTATTATATCCTTTTTTTTAAAACTATTACTTTAATTATTGTAGCAGAAAAAAGCAATTTTTTCTACTTTTTGGTTATTTATAGGTATTTGTTTATGACAATTGTTATAATAACAAATAAAATTTTTTTTTTCATAGTGCATTTTTTATCCTTGGCCATATATGTGACTGAAAAGATACTTAAATAGTTTATTTAAACATTTTTTCAAAATTATACAACAAATATTGTCTTTGTAGGCTCATTTGTCAACTTATTTGTTTAAATAATAAATTTTGCAAAATGAAATTAAAAAATCCAGCTCAATACCAGTCTGGGGAATTTATTGCTGAAATTTTTTTTAAAAAAATACGTCAAAACCCATAAAAAAAATTGAAGGCTGTAGGCGGTCGTGAAGAGTAAATTGGAATTCTGAACCACTGTGCCATGCATCTGCGTTTAAAAATTTGTCAATTTTTAAATATTAGGTTATTCATTTAAAATTTATGTTTTTTTACTACTAACAATTTTTTTATAATTTTATTTTTTTTTAAATTATGTATTACATAACAATGTAATTTTATTTATAATTTTTTAAATTTATATTTTATTAATAAATTTTAGTTTCTGAAGAGGACGGCTGTGGCAACGAATAAGCTGACCTTCTCATAAAATTTGCTACTACTGGTATAAGCCAATAAAATACCGCTAAAAATCTGAACAGCGAACGTTAACAAGATAATTTTTTATTTTACTTATTATTTATTTAGTATTCATAAAATCTCGCACTTTATAGTAGAAGTATAATTTTGATATTATCATTAAAAATAATAAATCACATACCTATAAATTAATTTTGTCGGGAAGAAAGTCAAGACATATTGAATTTGTTAAGGAGCTACTTATGTTTTCGATCATGTTAAATCTTAAATAATGATAAATAAAAATAACATATATCAGAAATATTTAATCAATCTCTGGTCTAAGAGTTTATGAATGCTTTATCCTTTAAGACTAGAATGCTTATAAATCTGTAAGTTATTCACAAAGTACATAATGTTTAGAATATTCACTCTAAACCTGAATCAATGAAAATTTCACTGAATTCAAATCAGTGGCTCAGTTTTCTTTAATTCACTAGTGGAATTTCACTGGGAATCAGTAAAAACCACTGATTCTCAGTGAAATTTCACTGGTGAATTAAAGAAAACTGAGCCACTGATTTGAATTCAGTGAAATTTTCACTGATTCATATTTAGAGTGTTTGATAATATTTTTAGAATATTTATGTAAGAACAATGGAGGACTCAAAATTTCTCCCTAAGGAGGGTATAATTTCAAATTAAAATTTAAAAAATGGAAAATCATGTTTCCATATACATTAAAAACTATTAAAATATGATTACATGTAATAAATAATAGTTCATAAAAAAGTTGATTCTACACCTGTAATAAATACAATAACAAATTCAATAATTCTTTTTGTAGATGTATTCGTTTTTACTCATTTATTATATAACAGATTAACTGACTTTACTTTAATAATAAATTTTAATTAAATGCTTCTAAAAATACTTTTTATTGGTTTTATTTTCTTCTTCGCTTCGAAGCCTTCTGTCTGGTTTCATCTTATGATCTTTAAACTGTGACTACATTAATATCAAATTGTACTTTGATCTTTAAATAAATATATTATTTTTCAATAATTATTATTATGAGAAAGCAATTTGTTCACGTAATGAACATATTTCCTCTACTGTTCGGTTTTTACCATTAATTTCTCATGTTCGCATTGATCTAGTTTTATTCTGTTTCAATTGAATCCTTCCATTTCAGTTGTATTCGTGTTAAATTTTCGTGTATCGTTTAGAGTGGTTCTCTCTCTCACACACTCTATTTCTCTCTGATGATAGAGGCTTCTGTTAAAAGCGAAGCCAGTTGAGAACGAGGTCGTTAGTCACGTGCTCTAGAACAAGAGTAATTCAAATTAACCAGCTAATAGGAAAGTTTGACCACTTCACGACTTGAAATTGAAGAGTCCAGCTTTGGATTATGTTGTATCTAAGTTTGTAGTTTGAAGGAGAAGCTCGAGAAGTAGTTATCTTGAACGTTGGAGTTTCGTCAGTCTTACTAATGACCAATTCAACTCCTGTAGCGAAAATGGAATGAGGATCTTGCGGTTTCTTGGGTCCACTCTCTTTCTCCGTCTACCGATACTTATTCTCTGAGCCATCTGGAAAACGCCTCGGTAAACGAGGGCGTTTGCTCTCGTTAAAGGGAACTCGGGGGTGATTTGTACTCTCATTCTCTCTCTCTCCCTCTCTCTCGCACTCTTTTGTATCCCCTACTGAGACGCGATGTCAAACCCTCGCCTCTTGTTCAGGATGTCTCTGTGGATCATTGAAAAGAGAGAAAATTGCAAAAGAAAAGGAAAAAAAGAAGATGGAAATACGTTTACAAGAGTGGAATGAATCTCTTCGCTAATAAAGCTTTTTCCCCTTCGACAAAATCTATAGTCTAAAGGAGATTGAAAAGTTTTCTCTTGGAACCTTTCGCACCAATTTCATCTAGAGAGGGAGAAAGAAAAAATAACGAACTCTCCGCTAATTACAATAAGTGCTCTCGTTAAAATATTTATTACAATGCAGTATTGATTGTTACTATTATAATCCGTTTTTGTTACAACTGCTTTGTAATATTAGATTTCAGTTGAAACTAAATCAAAAATTAATAAATAAATAATTCAGATTTGTAAAGGTGAAAAGTTCAGCAGTGGGATTACTATTAGCGATAGTCGCTATGTAGCGTTTTTCGTTATTTAGAATTGAAAACTTATATATTTTTAGTGAAATTTGTTCCAAATCATGACCAAAATAAAATACCGTTGACAGTTTCTTCAAAACTTAAACTGCAAGATGATAATTTAGAAGAAAATATAAACATAACCCCTCTAGATAAGGACATTGACATAGAATTCATGTCAATTTCCTAAAATATTTTATCTACGTAGCAAACAAATACAACATGAAGGTGGAATCAATTCTCTAACTTCATGTGTGCCAACTGTTAGTTTCAAATAAAATAATTAACTAGTAACGAAATAAATTAAACTTTAATAATGCAAATAACCTATTAATTTAATAAATAACAACTTTAAAAATAAATCATCTAGTTTAATGTTAAAATAATTTAAAATGAAAATAAATTCTTTAATTTAATTTAATAAATAAAAATTAAGAAAATTAATCTTATTGCAAGAATTAAAAATAATAATTGCATGAGATTTAAAAATTAGGATATTCTTTACCAGCCTAAATTTAAAAATTGATAAATTTTTTTAATTAAATTGATTTAAATTTTTTTTTCTTGAAAAACTCTTTAACTCACAAAAAATACCCTATACATTTTTTTAGTGAAACCTTGCGTGAGAACAAAAATTCTATTTCCGAGGTTATATCTTCAAAATTTTTTTAATTAAATTTTTTTCCCCATTTTAGACAATGTCTAATAGAAACTTTTAATCCTATGAAAAAGATAATAAATATAAATGTAATAAATATTTAATTATTAATATAAAAAAGAAAAGTAAATAGTTTATTATTATTGTATAAAGTTGAATTATTTTCTTGATTTTTTGTAAGGATAGAAATTTAAAATAAATGTTTTCTTTATTTCTTTATTATTATTATGTTTTATTTAGTTTGTAATTATTAATTATAAAAAAATTTAAGGTTAAAATTTAGAAATAAAATTGTTAATATAATAATATTAATAATTATCGTTGCCTCAAATTGCCTTTTTTATAACTTTTGATATTTGAAGTGTTACACTTGAAAAATTTGTCATGCTTTTAGATATTTCTTTTAATTGCTTCATTTCTTCATCGTGGGAAATCCTTATGAAATTGATACATTCTTGATTCTAAAAAAAATTGTTAAATTATAAAATAAAGCAAATATGAGAAAAAAAAATACACAGAAAAACAATTGTACCAACCTAAATCTATCAAAATGATACCATTTTTTTAGTCACCCGATAGCAAGAAAAATTTTTAAAGTGAATGTAGCTTTGAATGGGTACGTAGCGAAATCTTCGTAGCGCTGTCGCTATTTGTAAT